TCCACAGAACGCGCAGAATCGGATGACCGGACTCTGGTTATTTGGCTATGTTCAGACACAACGACTTACGCTAGCGTATCGTTAATCGAGTGGTGTGAACTTTTTTATCATTATCGTTGAAGTATAAACAGGCCTTAAAGCCGGTCACTGAGGTCTCCGGTTGACGCGATTAATTCTATTGAGAACGCAACTCAAATACACGTGCGCAACAGATCGTTTTTAATACAGATCCTTCAGACTGCCAGTGACGATTGGCAGACGGCATCGAGTCGTCTAACACTCGCGGAGCGGAGTTGGATTCGTCGGCCGACGGTCGTATATCGTCTCGTACGACCGTCAATGTCCGGCTTAAAAGTTCATCACTGCGTTGCATGCCCCTACATCAACATTGATAAAAACCAAATACTATGCACGACTGAACATTTTTAAATAAATATGTGTAAATGACACATACAATATATTCATATTAATAAATCATAAATATTTGACTTATCATGTTTTTAAGGACCTGGTATGATATTTCCTGTGAATAAAACGTACCTTCAAAATACCAGTTATACACTAAATACATCGCGCATGACTGTTGATACATTTTATGAGATCATATTCCGGGGAATAAAGGGACAGAATGAAGGTTTACGATACTTTGAGCTTAAGCTGATAGGAGCACAACCACCGCAGCCTATTATAAGGTAAAATTACACTATAATAGAATAATTCGAAGCATATTTCCTTTTATATCAGTAGGAAGTTTTCAAAATCACGTTTACGTACGCACACGGATTCGGATTCCCCTATTTTGAATTGCGCATGCCTAATTATGCAAAAATATTTTTTTACGTTGTCTTCAGAACGTAGAATCAACCAAGTTAACGTGCCCATGTTACCTCTTGCGTCAGACGTTGCAGTGCAATTTTTGAGTAAATTCTCAATGAATATTATTTCCTTCTACTTGATCTGATTATGTTTACTTATTTGTTTGGTTAGACTTGCTAATGGAACCCTGTTTGAGCCATCTCGATACGGACAGCTTTTGAGACCCAATGCCGACATACGTATAATTGGTGACTGCGTTCAACCGTGTAATATATCAACGTACGAATGGAAGTTAAGACCCGGGAATGAAACGGATTTCAACGAAGTAGCTTGGGAAGAGTTTAGTTACCAACCGACAGGTATCTAATAACTAATAAACCATTCAAACACGTTTGATACCGTTCTTTATATGTATAGGAATGCATTTGTACCGTAAATCAGGGGCGTATGCAGAGATGTCCTAAGCGGGGTGGGGTGACTTTTGGGGCCCTCACGAACCATTAGGTACATCACTCTGTAACAACTAATGTATGTACTACTTTTATAACAGAACTCTCGAACATTCATTTGCAAACTTTCGCTGCCAGCTTAATTATGTCCACCAAATGGATATGCCAGCCAAACAACTACAAACATACCCTTGGATATTGTTGCTTAATTATGTTCCACATAATGACAACGTAAACAAGCATGTAGGAAGGAAGCGTATTCCTGGACCTGTTATTATGATTGGACAGTTGTTAAATTTGATGGACACCCCAGAATGGTCCATTAACTATATTGCGTTCTAATTTCCCAAGAAATGAAAACATATCAGTAATTTTAAAACAAATATATGATAAGTTTCATTGTGTTTTATTTTATATAGGAATAACAACTGACAAACTGTTTATACCACGTGAGCTCATTGAGTCTCTCCTGCCACATATTAATCGGTATGAAATAGAACTTAAACTGAAGGACTCGGAAAACGTTTATGGTGTAGCAGCAATCAAGATTGAGATCAATTTACCACCAAGGGATGGTACTTGCGATTTAATATCTTCTTCTACCATATCGGTTGGAGAAGGCGTTAATGTCACGTGCGATAACTGGAAGGCTGAGCGTGGAATTGCCACCTACACCGTTTACAGTGAGTTTTATAATTAATTAAGAAAAATCTAGTACATTTTAGATGTATTATCTAGTACATTAGATCCATTATGTAGTACATTAGATCTATTATCTAGTACATTAGATCTATTATCTATTACATTATTATGTAAGAGTGACAATGTTAGTTCTGTATTCAAACAAGTACTGAGTGAATATGATTGTAGACCTGCCCATTAGGTGTTTTGTATTTGAAATAAGTTTACGTTGCACATCATGCTAAAAATTAGGCTAGCAGTTTTATCATATTTCACTGTCGGGTTTTATTTTTGTACACTGCAAAAGTGCATTTAACTCATTGCAACGATAATAATGTTATTGGTGACGATGACACTATTATTCTACACGTCATAAATGAAGTGACGCTACGTACAAAAGATCCTGTGTAAAAATTAAACACATGTAATATGTTAAATGTAATTCAGCTATAATAGAAAAGAAAAAAGTTCATGGGTCACTTTCACAATAAGATACAAATAACGAATAAAAAAAATATCTAAAAAATATTTAAAAATTGACCCTACATCGTCAAAGGCTATGTTCTCACACGGCTACTAACGGTTAGCAGGATCCGGATCCTGCTAACCGTTACCTGGCGTGCGTCCATACGAGAAAATCCCGATCCGGATACCAAAAATATGATGATCAAATCACTGGCCAATATGAAACTGGAAATTGTAAACGCGTACGTGTGATTGGTTGATGATAAAAACGCGCTCAACTTGCTAAACGATAGCGTTTGCTAACCGTTAGCGGTATCCGGATACTGCTAACGGTTAGCGCTAACCGATCGGGCGTTCTCACGCAGGTGCTAACGGTTAGCTCCCGATCCGGATACAGGGCTCTCGTGAGAACCAGGCTTATAAGAAGTAAAGTGGGCCAGGCCTAAGTGCGCAAATCAAATTAGTTTTCTGTAGCAATAATAATTAATAATGATGCAATAATGTGTATAGCACTAAATAGTTCTTTTTATATAGGCCTATATGTATATCTGTCTCTTATACACATCTAGATGTGTATAAGAGACAGGAATATGATTGTAGACCTGCCCATTAGGTGTTTTGTATTTGAAATAAGTTTACGTTGCACATCATGCTAAAAATTAGGCTAGCAGTTTTATCATATTTCACTGTCGGGTTTTATTTTTGTACACTGCAAAAGTGCATTTAACTCATTGCAACGATAATAATGTTATTGGTGACGATGACACTATTATTCTACACGTCATAAATGAAGTGACGCTACGTACAAAAGATCCCTGTCTCTTATACACATCTAGATGTGTATAAGAGACAGATAATATAGAGCGCCAGGGCCCCATGCGCGGGCGGCCCCGACATTGTACTTTAAAAAAAATATAATATAAACTATAATACCGTAGTTTCATTCAATGGGGCCCCGACAGTTTTAAACAATAAAAGCTGGGTTCTGATGTTTGAAATCATGCTTCTGATTTTGTGATCAATCTGCTTTGCACAGTTAATTTTTCAATCTCCAGCAAATTATAAATAGCAACCTCTTTTTGGGAATGTAAGGAAATAGATAGTGCTTTCCTTTGTTGGATCGATTGTAACTCCTGATTGTAGCAACACCAAAACGTATATATATATAATATATATATATATATATATCTATACCAGAACTTTTTAAAAAAAAGCATCCAGCGTCGCCAGTTTTCAAAAAAACCAATATAATAACTTGCACCACTGTGTACCGTATTTAAGCTTGGTGGAATGCTCGGATCGGTGAGCGGTCGCTCTTGTTAGATTAGAGAAAGAAAATCTATATTTTTTATTTTCTGTATTCATGAAACCAACTGTTATTTTACAGACAACTGAAAACCTGGCTGAATTGAATAAGAAGGAGGAAGAGGAAAGGAACAAAAGGGCCATGGTGAGTTCATGATCTTAAAAATAATAAGCAAAAACACTGAATACTAAAGTGGAATGACTTAATTTAAAAATTTATTTTAGTAGATAAAGATTTATTTACCATACAAACGAGTTCACCATGGCTCTATTTATCAAAAATATGTGGTCGTGAAGGCTATATATGATTTAATATTTTGTGTATTTAGTGGAAGTAGTGGTGATAGCGCCGATGACGGTGAGTGTACGTAGGTAGTTTAATAGTAGTAGCGCCAGCTTCAAGAACAGGGTGGAAATGTGTTTTCCATAACAGCCATGCGACACTTACGTTTTAGGCCTACTACTATTTATTTCTAAAACATTTACATCAAGTCGACGTTTTATTGAATTGTGTTGAGTTTATTTTTGAGTTTGATTATATTGTATTTACTATGTAGTATCGTGCTAAAATGACAGAAGTACTCTCTAAAGTTGAAATGAAATCTGCAAAGGACATATTACTTGTTGCCAGTGCAGTGTCTATTGTAACAAATGCATCTGATGAGATCTCTAATACAGCATTGGTAAGTTGTACACCATTACTTTTGTCAAGCAATGAAACGTTAAAAATAGGCCTCCGTAGAGAACATCAGCGTTAGTGTAAAAACAAAAAGCAAATAGTCTCGACAGTCCTTGAATAATTATGTTCTACCAAACAGGTCACCAATTACCTAACATCAACTTTACGCTTCCGGGTTGATAAAAAAAGTACTACCACGCCACCACGCGATAGCGGGAGCCCTATTTTACGTTCTTTTGAAAGACGCCCTGTAGAGTTCGTGGTAGTACTTTTTTGAGATAGGAATTTCGTTCCAACGAAATGCCGAGTGTTGGGACCGTTGCAGTTACATTATACTCTTTGATTTGTTGTATTTTCTTTTTAGGATACAGGAGTTGCACTTGTTACAGACATGGTATCTGGCCTTTCGGCGTTCAGTGAAGAAATTGACCAAAACACGTTGACTGAAGCAGGAGCCAACGTAATAGGTGTTTTAGGCAATATCTTGGAGGTTAGTTATGACGTCAATGACGTATATTTTTTTTAAAAGTTATGACGTCAATAACGTTTAATTTGTTTAGGTCATTTCAAATCAAAGGTCATTTTCAGGACGTCAATAGTCATGGATACTCGTACGTCTCACAAGGTTTTGTTGGACCTTAGCTTACTTGTGGAAAACCGTTATCCTCTACAATCGATTCAGATTTCTAACGTATTTTGAATTTTTAATAATGATTTCTTTATTTATATACATATTAGGGTTCAGCCCAGTCTATGGACAACCCGCTTACCACTGCCAACAGATATATATGTAAGTTGATTTTTGTTATTATTCGTTTCAAGCTCATCAATTGTATAGTTTGACACACAAGTTTAGATAGGACTGTATAGCAGCCATAGCGCCAAAAACTAATATTAGATTGGGTACCAAGTCAGTTTGCATGGTGTACGTCCATGAAAGTAAATCTAACATTATCTTTCCGGGTGGCAAAAGGACAGTGTCAAAGACGGTTTTATTAAATATAAGAAACTCATAACGATGCTATTTTATTATTCAGCTCCTTCCCCGTCGGCTGCCTCATCCACAACCGCAGGTACAACATCTGATCCGGAAGCACAGAAGGAGAGAAGTGAAAGGGTAGGCCTACCGAATGTTGCATTTCCAATTATTTTTGAAAACAATGTTAATATTACCTAAGTTTGATTCTTGCACCCCACCCCCCACCCACCAACACACACACACACACGAGATAATGACCTACATACGTCAACAACACCACAAAGAGTCACAAATTTGAAGGGAAAAAAAATCACAATTTTTTATTTTTCCATATTTATTTTGTTTATACATTGATTATTTTGTAGGCACGGAACACGGTAAATACATTGATGGAGAATATTCACAACATTTCAAAAACACTTTCTCAAAACAAGCTTCCTGGTGAACCAGCAACGTCTGTCACTACTCCAAAGATTACGCTTCAGCTAAAAAAAGATTTTGCCTACATGTTTAGCAATGAGACAACTGAAGAAGGATGGAGTAGCTTTGAAGTCGGAAGCTGGTGCGGCGGAATAAAGCCTAAAAATGACTGCGATCCAAATGTTGTAATGAATCGCCAAAGCATGAGTTCATTTAAAAATCCTTTTAACTTTGATGAGTCTTCTGAATACATCCCCGAGACGGCTGCCGCAATGACACTTGTTTTTAGGAATGAATTTAACGAAGATATTCCGGTGTCAGATACGCCAGTAGACATCGAGATATTCTGTCCTCGCAGGGGGACGCCCGTGCCAGAGCTTTTGAATTATACTGATTTTAATAAAAGTTCTTATATTTGTCACAGCATTGAAATCCTGCATAATAAGACGTCACTGATGTTTGACTTTCGTCCACACCAATCGTCAATATATTATGCAACTATGCTAAAATACGAAACCAAACCAAACTTAACAGATTATGACCATATTTGGTTTTTTGGATTCAACGAATCTGGTAAAATGTTATAATTGATATTTTAATTGTATTTTCCTAACATTACACAAGTTATTTATACTCACCATTTGCAACATAAACGAATGCTCTAGCCTCTTTTTCAAGAAAAGCGGATGGCGCATCGGTTCAGGGTTTCGAAACTCGCTTGTGTCCCTGACACTTTATTTACGGTACCTCTCTCTACCCAAGAGCATAAATGGGTGCTTGGTAGGATGTTGTGGCATTTAATGTACTAGTTTTGTGGCCAAATAATAATAGGCCTATTATTATTATTACGAAAAGTAAAGGAATATGAAAGAAATTAAGCCATTACCTTAATCAAGAGTTAAATTTACTAACATCCCACTGTGATAGGAATAAAATTCAATTATAAGAGTAAACTTACACTTAGCAAATTGGCACTGTTGTGTATATTTTTAATTATCTATTAAAAATAAGTATAATTATTAGGAGAAACAAAGGTGACTTAACATGAATCATATAATTAAACTGCTATGTTCTCACATCCTAGGGTTCATTGACAGTAACACAGATGGTGTTTACTCGGTTTTTCTACCGGACTCGTACATTGACTACAATACTGGTTACTATTACTTCTGCCTGGCTGAAGTGACCCCTTTGCCTCAAGATTACGAAATTCCTGAAACTGATTCCGAAATTCCTGAAACTGATTCCGAAATTCCTGAAACTGATCCGAGTGTTGATGATAATATTGAGATCTATAATGTTAGCAACATTTATGTGCAACTGAACAATGTAACGTTCAACTACTCGTTAGTCCTTTCTACATCCGGCTGCAGATATTGGGATTTATCTCAAAGTGCTTGGTCATCTGAAGGATGCAGGGTAATTTTTTGCAAGTTTGTAGGTTTTCGGCAACACCTCGCTGCTGGAAACAATCCGCTGCCTTCAAAGGACGCCGTTTAATCTTAAATTCAAACAGTCCTCCTCCTCCTCCTCCTCCTCCTCCTCCTCCTTCTTCTCTCCCTCCTCATTATTATTATTATTATTATTATTATTATTATTATTTATTTATTTATTTAGGCAAAAGATACAATATACAAAATATAATACAAATCAGAAAAAATCAAACGAACATAAAATTAACAAGTGCATTTCATAGACCATAGTCATTATCTTCCAGGAAAGTACGAAATCAGCCTAAACCACTGTACAAAATATGTGTGTACCTTCAACTAATTACTAATCAATATTAGGGCTAATTTCATCCAAATTGAAGGCTTTTGCTTTTAAAACCATAAGCATAGTTTCTTTATTATTCATATTTTAATTTTTTTTAAATTTTTTTTTTTACTATTTTTACTTATTTTATCCAAAAATATGTTTCCTTAGTATAAGCTTATATCGTTCAATAGTGCCTTTTCATTGTTCTTGTCATTGTATATTTTCCTCTAGGTTGGACCTGAGACGAATGTGTCAACCACACAGTGCTTTTGTAACCATCTGACCTCATTTGCGAGCTCATGGTTTGTCCCTCCAGCTCATCTGGATTTCGACTACATCTTTGCAAATACAGGCTTTTTGGATAACATCACAATCTATTGCACTATGATTGCTATCTACACTATCTTCATCCTCATATTTATTTGGGCAAGAAGGAAAGATAAAAAAGATATACTTAAGGTAAGAATGCTATTAGTTATACCTATAATAAATTTACAATCATATTCAGATATATTGTTTTTATTATTGTTGTTGCAATGAAGCACCGGATACAATAGAATGTACTGGCATACAAGGCACAGTACAGTCTGGCTCCTGGTTAAAAATGAGCTCGTGCAGATTCAGCAGCCCACAAGAGTCTGCTGACGCCATTTGATTATACAGTTAAAAAAGAAATTATAATAATAATTAATTTCCTATATGACAGCAATCCAATTAGGCTGACTGAAAATGGATGATATAATATTGCGATATATTTTTTTTTCAGCTGACTAATTTAGAAATGATATTTATCTTTTAAGCTTGGTGTGACTCCTTTACCTGACAATTCACCTGTTGATAGGTATTTTTATGAAATAACAGTATTGACGGGACAGAGAAAGGCTGCCGGAACCGACTCAAAGGTATTGCCTCGATGGGATAATTGGTATTCGGATTTTGCTGAAAATTCTTCTGGGAATTATTTGGATCTTGTTGGTTTAATTGATGATGATGATGATGATGATGATGATAATGATGATGACAATTAAACCATCATCATCATCATCATCATCATCATCATCATCATCATCATCATCATCATCATCATCATCATCATCATCATAATTATTATTATTATACTGTGTTGTAGAGATCAGTAAAATAATGAATTGTTCAGCTAAGTCCCGCTCTTTGAAAAGTGTTTGCTAAAGTACTAATACTGACTTCCTTATTTGGTTAATTCATGCATTTGTGTTAATAATTGAATTCTTGATCAGGAGTGGCGCCGGGGTTTTCCCGACCGGGGGGGGGGCGAGGTCCCCGACGGGGGGAGGACGCGATGCCCCCGACGAGGGGTCAGGTTTTCCCGACGAAAGCAAAGTGGGCGTGGTCGAGCTTCATTTAAAAGGTTACGAAAGTGGTCCAGGAGGCGAAGCCCCAGAAAATTTTTGTAAGTTTAGGGGTTTCAAAGGCTTATTTAATCGATTTTAGAGTCTGTTAATATGTAGAAAATACATATATTTTTTTCTCCCGACGAATTGTGCTTTTCTCCCCGACAAGAGGGGAGGGAGCTCTCCCCAACGGGGGGCCCTGCCAACCCCCGACCCCCACTGGCGCCACCCCTGTTATTGATAGGTAAATACGGAAATGAGAACATTCTTTCATTCTACTTTTTTTTTGACAGGTGAGTTTTATTTTATCTGGAGAAGATAATGAAACTGGCGTACGTGTTTTCGACGATGACCAACGCAAAATTCTACGACGAGGGGGCGTGGACAGGTTTTTGATGTCCGTCTGTCGGTAAGATTTTGTTATATTTTAAAATTTCTGGATAATAACTGAAAATATAAAAAGAAAACATTAAAACAAACTTAATATAACATATAGAAAAATTTTTATTTTATTTTACTTACTAATAAAAATTTAAATTGTTAGTAAAAGTAGTAATAGTAAAAACAAAAATAGAGAGGTACATTGCGGATTGTACAGACGGGGGGATTATACACCTGAGCCACAAGAAAATTTATGATTATGTCACCTCCAGTTGGCCGGAAAATGCACTCTCAGACTTAAAATTTTAATATAATTTTTAATTAATTTTCTTCATTTCTGTTCATTTTTTTTTTAAATATGTGGGTGTAGGGGGGGGGACGCCGGGTCGAGTGGGGCCTCCTGGAATTCACCACTGACTGGCATACCTGCATGAATATGTCGTTTATATCTTAAAGGCCGCTGGGGTCACTAAACTACATGCGCATATGGCACGATAACGGTGGAAAGGGCAAGATGCAAGGATGGTACCTAAAGTACATTGTGATCAAAGATCTTCAGCAACGCAAACGCTTTTATTTCATCGTAAACCGATGGTTCTCAGTTGTAGAAGACGATGGTCAGGTATTGTAATTTTCACAATAATTCTGAATCTGAAAGATAGTAATATCAACCGATATTCTTATACTTCCTCTTAATTTTTACCTCCACCAATGAGGTTATGTACCGTATTTACTACTGTCTGTCAGTCCATCTCTTGGCAAGATTACGCAAAAACTAACTGATCATCATAATTATTGAGTGGAGAATGATACATAATAATTGAAGAAAGACGCCATTCAATTTTCGGATAGAAAGGTCAGAGAACAAGGTCAAAGTGACGGAAATTCAATTATTATTATTATTATTATTATTATTTTATGGAATCGCCTTTCGAATGCAGGCAGCACTCAAGAAAGTAATGTACCTGAATAGGACGGGCGATTCCATTATTTTCTTGAGGGTATGTGCAGTTTTGCTAAATATTACACGGCCTGCTTATTGTTGGTATTCAGGCACAGGGTGGAAATACATTGTACTAATTTCTCCGATTGATATTCTTATAGTATATTATAATGTAATTATTTTTTCGATTGTTTTTAAGATTGAGCGACTTATTGCTGTTGCCGGAAAGGATGAAATGCAGGAGTTTGGTCACGTGTTTACCAGCCATACGCGCAAAAACCTAAATGATGGGCATCTATGGTTCTCGGTTCTTTCTCGTCCAGCTGGCAGCCGATTCACTCGCATGCAAAGGGCTGGATGCTGTCTAATGGCATTGTGGCTAGAAATGCTTGTCGATATCATGCTTTACAAAGTGAGGCCTCCAGCTGGTTCTGAGAATCCCGTCAAAATTGGACCTGTTACGATCACGCCAGCTTCGGTAACTTTACATTTTTTGTATATCTTGCATACGGAATATAATTAACTGTACATCAATATATATTTATTGCACAAATAGAGTTAATGAGGGAAAAAGCGTTAACAATTAAGTTTCCCTTATTTAGGGTATATCAACCGAATATGTGGAATTGCTCCGTAATAGGGTTTGCATGCACAGTACTGGCCATTAACTAAAAAACGATGATAGATTATTTTAGTTTAAATCGATGTAAGCTTGGAGATTTCCGCTAAGCCCCGCCCCTTGGATATTGTTGCTAAGGTCCCACAAGCAATTATGATAAAACGTGTTAAAAATACGCGAACACGTGCGTTTGTGGGACGTGTATTTGTGAGACGCGCGCGTATTCCTAGCGCTGTTCTGATTAGTCAGTTGTTAAGTTTGATTGACACTCCAGAAAGGTCTATTATTACGGTAATTGAGAATTACACATAAAATCAATGCGACACTATTTGACATGCTTATTTCTCCACTCATTTTAGAAGAACTACAAAAAGTGTATTGATCCTTGAAAATATAATAAATGAATTATTGTTTTTACAGGTTATGATCGGCATCGAATCAAACTTAATTGTGTTTCCTGTCAGTTTACTGGTCATCAACTTCTTTCGTAAATCACGTCCAAGGAAAAAACGTAAATCTCGAATCATGGAAGCATGCGACAGGCAGGCAAAGGCTTTCCGGACGAATAAATTGAACAGAGATTCTGTGGTAAGCCCTCGTGTACGGTATTCATTCAGTCACTCATACTGGTTTTTCAATGTGGTGTTAGATGGTCGTCTATTGCCGTTTTTTCCATATATATATATATATAATTTGAATCTTATTTAATATGCTTTCCTGCTGCGACCTATAAGCTTTTCTAGCTTAAACCTGGAACAACTCTACTGAAAAATCGTTGAAGGCTATTATTCATGATTCAAGATAAGAATATAAGAACAAAGTGATATTTGAAATTGGCAAATTCGAAATAAATATATACGTGGCAATAAATTATAGACCAATATTATCATTTTCTTATTTTATTTCTTTATATTTCGATATTGATAAATAACGTTTTCGTAAACGTCATTTTCGTGACACAACTAACAAAAACTTTCGCGAAAGTTATAATAACGTATGTTTGCTGGGTTTTGACGCAAAATAATTAAAATCTTTTTCGATTTTACTGTTTTGCTTTTCATTCAGGGAACGCCTTCTGAAGTCAAGTTCTCTAATTTAGATGGAGTTGTCCTCCGAGAAAAACAAAAGGAAATGTCAGAAACATCGAACAAAATGAAGCACCCAGACGATGCTTCAGTTATCATAACAACTGAGTGTGCGCCAGTTAAGAAAAAGCGTAAAGAGCGTTTTGGTTTTCCCTGGTGGTGTAGAATTATCGCATGGATCCTGGCAATACTGAGTACTGCCGCGGCAACAGTTTTTGTTGTTTTCTACGGAATCCAACTCGGAAATGAAGAAACTTCAGAATGGCTTGCGTCACTCTTCTTCGGCTTCTTTGCGGCAATTTTCGTCACTCAACCAATAAAGGTATTAAAATACATAGGCCTCTCATATAAATAATATAAAACATGCTAATAAAAAAAAATCTAAACTGATTATAACTATAGTTTATATTGAAGAACCTGCTTAAGCTCTGTCCATGTATGCCCATATATAGTCATAATTTGCCTATATATGGTCATGATGTGATGCTATCATGACCATATTTAGACATGTCACACGTTTTTGTCAAATAGATGTTGATAGTCTGAAAAAAGCTCTATAAAACTTAAATAAAAAACAATTAATTAAATATTATAAATATTATTTTCTTAGTCACACTAATCCCTTTTCTTTCTTCACATTATTCAATTAAATTATTCTAAATTACTGAAACAAGTAAAGCATTGATGTATATGTTTTAATCATTATTTCAATTTCTGTTATTTACAGAAATTGTTTTTAACTTTATATTTATTATCTCTATATGTATTAAGTTCAGTATATTCAATTTAATTTCGTTTATTGACAGAAAAACCACAAATTAGGTCGCCCACATTCACATATCGAAACTTAGGTGACCATTGTGACCTTTGACGTAATGTTTACGGTAGTTGGCTTAGAACTTGCAATGGACTAGTCATATTTACAAAGGTTACATATTACACCAACATACATCACTAAACATTCAAATATGTCTGATGATTAGCTCGCAAATGGTTGCTGGTGGTCATTGCTTGTTTGTTTTATTTATTTTAAACCATATTCAATGAATTTAGACTATTCAGATAATTTGATCATTTTGATTCGATCTATGTGCAAAGATATATCCAGACTATCAAATTTTATTTAAAAACAACATGTGACATACCTAAATATGGTCATGAAGACATCACATCATGACTATATATAGGCACGTCATGACCATATATGGACATACGACCGTTTTTTGTCCAAGAAGATTTGATAATCTAGACAGAACATAAGTTCAGTCCACACTATTAAATGTTGTGTGTCAAATTTATGTGATGTGCCCATATATGGGTATGATAAATCGATGAAGTCATATTACACCTAATAAGGACATATTACAAAAATATGCAGTCATTTTAAGTTTTTCAATTACTTTTTTGTGTTTTTTTAAGAGTTTACCACATAAAAAAACGATGCATGTTTCGAGAAAAAGAAATATTGTAATTTTCATTTCGTGTCTTGGTGATCACTATAGGTTATACTTATTGCTGTTTTTATTGCCTGTGTGATGAAAACGCCAGGGGCCGAACAAGAGGAAGATATGGACGGTGATGAAGAAGAATTTTACTTGAAATCTGATGAAGAATGGCTACATTTCCCTGTTGGTAAGTGCCTTACATTACAAACATGCTGTGTATTTACATAACGACGCTACATCAAGATCGTAGTGCTAAAAACTTGTTGTTGAAGAATAAGCTAGAAGTATTATTAGTATAGTAATTACGTTTAGTCTGGTAGTGGAATAATAATAATAGTAGTAGTAGTAGTAGTAGTAGTAGCAGTAGTAGTAGCAGTAGCAGTAGCAGTAGTAGTAGGAGGAGGAGCAGTAGGAGTAGTGTTATCACTATGAAAATTTCATGGGGCCGGCTCCAGACTTTTGTTCTGGGGCTCCAGACTTTTGTCATGGTGATTTTGTTGCTTTTGGGGCCCCAAGGCACCTGTCATAATAAATAAATAAATGAATTGAAATTAAATGATTACCTGAATGTTTAATTTCCATAGAAGCGAAAAGTGGAAAGATAGAATATAAGCCACCAAACCCAGCGGATCTTAAAAGGGCTCGAGAGCAACGTCTCAAAGAAATCAAGATGTTCTCAATCTTTCGTGAAATTTGCTTCTACTCCTTTTTTCTGCTCATCTTAATGGTCGTTAGCTATGGTAATACAAACTCAATGTCGTATGATGTCAAAAACGTTCTTTCGTCAACCTTTCAAGGCCCTTCGCAGGATTACAAAAAGGTATTTAAAGTTTAATTAAAGATGCATTGTCCCAAATAAAATCAACGGATTTTTTTGTCATTTTCAGGGGACAATACATCTTTAAACTTTTATCAAAAATCAAGATAAATTTATTAATAAGGTATATCTCAAACAAATATATATATATATAT